GGAAGGGGCCATGTGAGGGGGAAGCACGGGCAAAGGGGAAGGAAGTGCTGGTGCAAGAAGGTGAGGCCCCCGCTCCCCCAGGAACAAGTCTGGGATCTGGGGCTGGCGCTCGGAGAAGATGGAGGTGGTCAGCGGCTACGAGGCCAAGGTGAGCACGGAGACAGGGAGGGACTCTGGGGACAGCCTGGAGTGTGGCAGGCCTGACAGTGTCCCCACACAGGTGTACAGTGCCAGCAACGTGGAGCTGGTCACCAAGACCAGGACAGAGCATCTCTCTGACCAGGACAAGTCACGCAGCAAAGGTGACAGCCCTGTCAGCCAGTCAGGGGGCCTGTACATGGTGGGGACACGCCACCCTTCCTGGGTGGCACAGGTGTCAGGTGTGGGAAACTGGGGGAATAATGTGACGAGCATGGGACAGTGTGCGGTGTGCCACCCATGAGGGGTGTGACCAGTGACAGCCCTGGGAGTCCCTCCTCACACCTCACCCCTCACCCCCTCTCCCCCCAGGCTCCAAGACCCCCTTCCACTCCTTCCTGGGCATCGCGCAGCAGCACGGCACCCACAACGGGGTGAGTGGCCATCCCATGGGTCCCTGGGCAAGCTGGGGGTCTCCAGGGGGGCTGAGCGGTGCTGCTGTCCCCCCAGGCACCCATCCTGCAGGCTGCCAGCCCCACCAACCCCACAGCCATTACCCCCGAGGAGTACTTCGACCCCCACTTTGACCTGGAGACCCGAAACATCGGGCGCCCCATCGAGATGTCCAGCAAGGTGCAGAGGTGAGGCCACCGCCCCAGGGCCAGGACATACGAGATGGTGACAGGGTCCTCAGGATGTGGCACTGCGCATCAGGACCCATGGGGTGGTGACAGGGTCTTTGGGGCCATGCCACTGTTGTCTGTACCTCGGGGGTGTGGCCAGGGTGGTGGCACTGGGGTGGTGCTGGTGGCCGTGGCCCCACCGGGTCCCCGTGCCCACGGTGGTGCCCGGGCAGGTTCAAGGCGACGCTGTGGCTGTGCGAGCAGCACCCGCTGTCGCTGGCGGAGCAGGTGACGCCCATCATCGACCTCATGGCCATCTCCAACGCCCACTTCGCCAAACTGCGCGACTTCATCACCCTCAAGCTGCCCCCTGGCTTCCCCGTCAAGATCGGTGAGAGGGAAAGCTTCATTTGGGTTGGGATTAATAGGGGCAGGAGTTCACTGGGGCCTTAAGTGACGGCTGTACCCGCAGAGATCCCCCTGTTCCACGTGCTCAACGCCCGCATCACCTTCAGCAACCTGTGCGGGTGTGACCAGCCCCTGGGCTCCGTGCGGATCTGCGCCCCTCAGGAGCCCTCTGGCACCCACCCCCCTGGCACCCAGCCCTCCGGGCCCAGAGGTGAGCCTGAGGGACCGGGGGGACCCTGGGGGCAGGAGGTGCCGGGATTCCGTGGATATAGAACAGGATGGGCATGGGGTGGGTGTGGGATGATGTGGGGTGTCACAGGATGCCATGGGGAGCTGCGGGGTGGCACGAGGTGCCGTGGGCGCAGCGTGCCATGGAGGTGGCGTGCCATGGGACACTGCGGGGTGCCACGGGGACACCCGAGGGTGCTGACGGCTCCCGTGTGTGGCAGCGTGGCCGTTCCCGTGCGAGGTGGAGGCGGGCGTGTTCGAGGTGCCCGCGGGGTACACGGTGCTGGGCGCGGGGCGCAGCGAGCCCCTGCGCGACGAGGACGACGACCTGCTGCAGTTTGCCATCCAGCAGAGCCTGCTGGACGCCGGCACCGAGACCGACCAGGTGCGGCCTCACCCCCTCACCTGGAGACACCCCACACTCACCTGGACGCGCCCCTAATGTGTGGCCACACCCCACAGGTGACCATCTGGGAGGCACTCACCAACACCCGCCCCAGCGCGGAGCCGCCACCCTACGATGAGGACCTGCAGCTGGAAAGGTGAGGCTCCAGCTGTGGGGGCGTGGCCTGGGGTGCCACACCCACCTCACCTGGGTGGGGCCGAACTGGGAGGGGCAGGGGTTAAAGGTGTCCGGGTGGGGCGGATGCGGGTGCCATGGGGCTAGAGAAGCGGGCTTTTAAAGGTGTCAGGGTGTGGCCAGGGGAGGGGCTGAAAGTGAGGAGCTTCTTGCTGTCCAAAGGGTGTGGCCATAATGGGCGTGGCTAACCGCAGGTGTGGGTGTGGTTAGCAGCTGGGCGGGGCATGTGGGGAGGGGCATGGCTCCCCAGGCCATTTAAGGGCTGTGCAGGTGTGGCCACCCGGGGTGGGGCACGGGTGTGGCAGAAGGGGCGTGGCTCCCACGACACGGGCGTGGCTCCCATGACACGGGCGTGGCTCCCATGACACGGGCGTGGCTCCCATGACGTGGCTGCTGTCCCCTCCACAGGGCACTGCAGGAGAGCATGCTGCTGCAGGCCGGGCCCAGCGCTGAGCCCCCGGCTGCCGTGAGCCCCCCCGGTGCGGGCGGCGGGAGCCCCCCGGGCCCCCCCGGCTACGGCAGCTTCGCAGAGCAGCTGCGCCTGGCCATGGCGCTGTCGGAGAGGGAGCAGGAGGAGCGGGAGCGGCGGAGGCGGGAGGAGGACGAGGAGCTCCAGCGCATCCTGCGCCTCTCCCTCACTGAGAAGTAGCACCCCGGGGCGCTCCACGCCGGCACAGGGACGTCCCGGGCTGGGACGGGGGTGTCCCATGTGGGGTCACCTCACGCAGGGACGCAGATGTCCCGCGTGGGGACACCCTTTGCAGGGATAGGGACACCCCACCCAGGGGACACCCCGGTGCGGGCACTGTCCCACACCGGGGTGCCCCAGCGCAGGCACAGCCCTGCTTGGGGAGCAGCCGGTGCCGGGATGGCCCCCCGTGATGGGGGCCCCCCTGATGTGGGCACAGCCCCCGTGCAGGGGATTTGATCCAGGGATCCTCCTACCCCCGGGACCCCCAATCCAGGGCTCTTCTCCCATCAGGCTCAAACCTCAGCCCAGAGACCCTCACCTGGGGACCACCCCTCCAGGGATACTCCTGTGCCCAGGACCCCTCCCTAGGGAGTCCCCTCCTCTTTGGTGTTGTACTGTGACCCCATGGGGGGCAGGATGGACCCGGGGGTCCCCGTGGGATGCAGGTGACCCCTGTTTTAAGGCACTGCAGTGTGGGGGAGACTGCTGGGGGGCCCCCAGGCCTCATCCTTTGGGGCAGTGGGAGGGCAGGGGGGCCCCGAATGTCTGTACATATACATATACATATATTATATATATATATATATACACACACGTGTGTCTGTGCCTGGGACGTGATGGGTGGGGTGTCCCAGGGGTGGAGCCTGGGAAAGGGATGGATCCTGCAGGTAGGGTGGGGCTCAGGTGATGGTGCTCATCCAGTAAGCGAGTGGATGGCACTAGTGGGCTGCTCCTCAGCTCGCCCCAAATCTGGGCCAGTGCCTCCATTCTTGACCCAGGGATTGGTTTATTTTGTTTATATTAATGGGAAAAGACCCCTGCCCTGGGAGCAGGCCTTGGCTGAGGACCCCTAGGGATCACAAGAGGTTATTTGGCAGTGAACTGCTGGGGACACTTGGAGCATTCCCACCGATTAAACGGGGGGTGTCCAAGGTGCCGGGGTCCCTCGGGGTTCCACAGCTTCTGAGGATTCGTGGAAGGCATCACACGTTCTGGGCGCCTGGGGGAGGGCCCCAAGAGCCAGGGACCCTTGGGTGCTTCCCACTTTCGGAGGATCTGAGGGTGTCTAAAGTGCTGGAGTGTCAATCCTGCCTTGTCCACACCGATGTGGGGCCGGGGGCGCTCCGGGGCACCGGGAAGGTGCCGCTCTGAGGGAGGGCGCTCCGGGGCTCCCGGCTGCGGCGTTCCCGTGGCGGGGGGAGCCGGGCCGTGCCCGCTCCCGCTGCCGTTCCCGTTCCCGTCCGGGCGGGGCAGCGGCGGCGCTTCCTGGTGCGGGAGGGCGGCGCGGCGGGGCATGGCGCTGGTGACGGTGCGGCGGGCGGGGGGCTCCGCCGGCGGCCCCGCGGTGAGTGCGGCACCGGGGCGGGCGGGGACGGGGCATCCCGGCAGGAGCGGCACGGGGGGCGGGCGGGGGGTCCCGGAGCCCCGGGAGGTCCCGGTGCGGGCTGGCATGGCGGAGCCCGAGGGAGTACGGAGTACGGGCTGTCCCAGAGCCGCGGGGACACGGGGCGGGGGTCCCGGTGCCCTGGGGAAATGGGCGGTGCGGGGGATCCCGGTGTGGGGCTGCGCGGGGTCTCTCGGTGCCCGGGGGTTCCCGGTGCTCCGGAAGGTCCCAGCGAGGAATGCCCCGCTGCCCGGGGCTGCCAGCGCGGAGGTGGAGGGGTGAAGGTTGCTCCGGTCGCTGCCGGTGCGGGGTCATCCCGGGCGCTTCCGACGGGACTTTACTGGGAGTTTGCTGGGAGCAGAGCTGCCCTCAGACGCGTTGGAGTTTCCTGTGCTTCCGGCTGGGGCTTCCCCACAGCTCAGGGAAGAACATGGGGGTGTGGATGGGGGTGTTTGTCCTGGTTGCTCCCACTCACTTTGCCACCCTCTCCAGGTTCCTTGGCTGTCCCTGTGTCCTCCAGTGCTGCCCCCCTCGCCCCCACAGTAACCGCTGGGCCTTTCTGGGGGCTCATCCCAGGCCTCCCCTTCCAGCGCTTTCACCCAGCCAGGGATGGGGGCTGCCCCACTGCCATCCCGAGGGGGGTCCCCAGGGATCCATCTCCACTGTGGGACCCCCAAAGGGCCCCCATGCCCCCTGTGGGGCCCACACTATTCAGCAGGGGCAGGGGTGGGTTTAGGAGGTCACTGGACTGTGGTGTCCATGCTGGTGGGAGGTTGTGGGACCCCGAGCCCGGTCCACACCCTGGGGTCACATTTCCCCCAGGAACTGCCTCCCAATTTGTAGGAGGAAGATGCTCCCAGACGTGGCCAACTACAGCGACGGTGAGAGGGGGCTCCAAAACCTTGGGGATGGAGACTCAATTTCACCCCTTTGGGGGAGCACTCTGGGGGTGCCCTGGGTGCTCAGGACCCTCCTGCCCCCCAGGCAAAGCTTTGTCATAGTCAAGGGGGCAGCGCGGCTCCTGCCTGCAGAAGAGTCCGCCCTGGCCGAGCCTCCCCCAGCCAAACTCCCCTGCAAGGCCCTGGGACAGCAGGAGCAGCACCTGCACCTCATGATGCAGCTGCTGCGCCCCCAGGACGCCATCCGGCTGGTAGGACATGGATCCCCCCTGCAGGAACGTGGGGATGGCATGGGGACAGGGAAAGAGATGGATGGGTCAGGAGCGGGGCCAGGATGGGGATGGGATATGGGTGGGGACAAGGTGGGGAGAGAAAATGGACAGGATGGGATGGATAGGCTGGGCTGGGGATGGGGACGGAATGGAATGAAGGTGGGGACAGGACAGTATTGAGATGGAAACAGGAACATGGAGCGAATGCGATAGGGATGGGATGGAAACAGGATGGGATGGGATGGGATGGAGACAGGATAGAATGGGATAAAGATAGGGATGGAATGGGAAGCGATGAGGAGGGGACACGGCCCAGCCTGCTGCTCCTCCCGGTCACTGGGAGCACTGGGAAGGGGCAGATCCCCCCTGCAATGCCCACCATCCCGGCAGGCGGTGCGGCTGGAGTCGGCGCGGCCGCAGCGGGTGCGGTACCTGCTGCTGGTGCGGCCGGAGGAGGCGGGAGCTGAGGCGGAGACGGCGCTGCTGGGAGTGGATTTCGCCCACGAGGGGTGAGCGGGGTGCACGGGGGGCCCGGGGAGGCGTCGGCACCCCCTGACCTCTGCCTGCCCCAGGGCCACCTGCTGCACCCTGGGCATGGTGCTGCCCATCTGGAGCGACACCCAGGTGTTCCTCGACGGCGATGGGTAAGGGTGGGACAGAATTTTGGCACAGGGAGGGGCTTAGAGGGGTCGGGGTGCCCACTCTGACCCATGTGTGTGCCCGTGATGCCCAGGGGGTTCAGCGTGACATCGGGGGGACAGACACGCATCTTCAAGCCCATCTCTGTGCAGACCATGTGGTGAGCGAGACCTGGGCATGACCACGGGGGGTACGGTGGGGACCACCCTGGGCACAGGGGGTGTGGGTGGCATGGTGAGCACAAGGGGGGTGGGCACCACCTCGGGGACTGGAGACACGAGCACAGCCAGGGGCACAGGGGATCTCAGCTGCACAGCAGAGACGGGGGATGTGGCACTGCTGGGGACACAAAGGATGCTGTCACCATCCTGGGCATGGGGATGTGGGCACTTCACTGGACACAGGGATTTGGGTATCACCATGGGCAGCACCACGGGCACCTGGGCACAGCCACGGGAAAGGAGCTGGGGAGGGCTTGGGTGACACCCACGCGCTGGAGACAGCCAGTGAGGGGGACACGGCTGTCGGGGCGGTGCCGGGGTGCGGTGGCAGTGCAGGGGTGGCAGCTGCTGTGCGGCAGGGCCGTGCTGCAGGAGCTGCACCGCGCCTGCGAGGACGCGGCCCGCGGCGGCCACATCCCCGGCGGCCCCACGCTGGCCTGGGCCCGCGACTACGCAGCAGCACTGGGCTCGGAGCAGAGCTGCCTCAACGAGTGGCTGGCCATGGCCGACCTCGAGTCTGTGCGCCCCGCCTCACCCACGCCCCTCCGGTAAGGTCCCTGCGGCCCCCCTGCCACACCCCGCTCTGCTGGCCAATCGCTGCTGCACCTGGCAGGGCGTGGCCGGGGTGGGGCAGGGGACACCAGTGACAAGGTGGTGCCGGTGCCAGGACAGCCACGCCGGAGCTGTCGGAGCAGGCGGTGCGGGCGCTGCTGCGGGAGGTGATGGCCACCGCCGACCTGGAGAACATCACATCCAAGGAGGTGGGTGCCACCTGGGTGGCAGCGTGTCCTGGGGACGGGCCGGGCCGGGTAGGGCCATCCCTCACCCAGGGTGGTGCCCAGGTGCGGGAGGAGCTGGAGCGGCGTATGGGGCACAGCCTGGCCGAGCACAAGGATTTCATCGACAACGAGATGCTGCTGGTGCTGGCGCAGATGGATCGGCCTTCCCGTGTCTTCCCGCACCTCTTCCTGGTGGGCAGCAGCGTGGGCACGGCGGGCGGGGCGGGCGGCAGCGTCCCCTCCCCTCACCGCTGTCACCACACAGGGCTCCGAGTGGAACGCAGCCAACCTGGAGGAGCTGCAGCAGAATAAGTGAGCATGGGGTGGCAGCGTCAGGGGATGGCATGGGGTCACCACGGGCTGCCCCTGGGGCATCACTCGTGTCACCACAGGGTCACCCACATCCTGAACGTGTCGCGGGAGATTGACAACTTCTTCCCAGCGCTGTTCACGTACATGAACGTGCGGGTGTACGATGAGGAGGCGGCCGAGCTCCTGCCCCACTGGAACGACACTTTCCTCTTCCTCTCCCGCGTCCGGTCAGCAAGCACGGGGGGTGACACCATGGGGGACATGGGGGGCACAGGGGCTGGAGGTGGGGCAGGGGAGAGGGGAACATGGGGAGGGGTCTTGATGACAGAGGTGCTGGGGTGCACTGGGAGCTGGGGAGTGCTGGGGCATGGACCCTGGGGAGCAGTAAGGTGGCTGGGAACATGGGGAGCTCTGGAGACACTGGGATGGCTGGAGGATGCTGGCAGCCCTGGGGATCCTGGGACAGCTGGGGGACACTGGGAGCTCTGTCCCAGAGTGTGCCATGGTGCCAGCGGTGGGTGCCACAGGGCGGCGGGAGGCCGGGCACTGGTGCACTGCCGGATGGGGCTGAGCCGCTCGGCCGCTACGGTGCTGGCCTACGCCATGAAGGAGTTCGGGTGGCCCCTGGAGCGGGCGCTGCGGCACGTCCGGCACTGCCGGCCCGGCATCCTGCCCAACCCCGGCTTCATGCGCCAGCTCGACTTCTACCAGGGCATCCTGAGCGCCAGGTGGGTGGGGACAGGTGGGTGGGGTCTGGCATAACCACACCCCTATGGATAAGAGGGTGGGGCCTGTTGGGACCACACCCCTTTGCAGGGAGTGGATAGGGCTTCCGAGGCCGTGCCCTACCTGGAAAGGTGTGGGAAATTTTGTGTGGGATGAGCCCACGGGAAATCCTCCCTGCGGAGTGGGTGTGGGTCCCAGCAGGGGGAGTGGCCGGGTGCTGATTGACAGGTCTGTGGCAGCCGGCACAGCAACCTGTGGGAGCCCCGGGCGGCCAAGCAGGCACCGCACCCCAAAGACGACACCGTGAGGGACACAAGTGGCCTGTCCCCGCTGTCCTCCCTGCTGGCGTCCCCGCAGCCCTCCGAGGAGGAGGCAGCTGGCGGGGGGCTGATGGAGGCCTCCCGGCGCCCCCGCATCTCCCTGTACTCTGTCATGCGGAGCATCAGCCTGCTGGAGAGCCCCAAGCCCCCCGAGCTGCAGGGAGAGCCCCTGGATGGGGAGGTGAGCAGGGGTCAGGGCAGGAGGGGGGGTCCAGCTGTGGGGTGACAGCAGCATGGGATGACCCCGCTGTCCCCCCTCAGGTGTTTGAGGCCACGGAGGAAGCAAAGGGTCCCTCCCCGAGGTCACGACCCTCGTCTCGCCCGCGCCGGGTGGTGCGCCAGGCCAGCCTGGATGGTGGCCCCGCCCCGTTTAGTGACCACAGCCACAGTGATGGACACACCCAGTGCCACACCCATGCGCTTGGCCACGCCCGCACGGATGAACCCACTCCCTAATTTGGGAGCGACGGCGGCGCCTCCTCACTGACACCGCTACAAGGGGAGGGGCGTGGCCCACGCCTGGGGGCGTGGCCAGCGAGCCGGCACGCCCCGCCCACACCCTGGGGCTGGGCGCTGCCTCAGCCCCACACGCACAAACACCGACACCGCTCCTGCACTGGCAATAAAGGGTGGAAATGGCAGCCCCTGATGGCTTTGTGACCCTGAGCATCTGGAGGGTGGGCTGCTGTCGACAGGGACCCGAGTGAACGCCTTGGGGGCACCGGGCGGGCACAGGGACCCCGCGGCGCCATGTTGTGCGCCACGGGGGGAACTACAACTCCCGGCGGCCTTTGCGCGAGAAGACCAACTTCCGGGTTTCCATGGCAACCGTCGCGGCCTAGGCATGGACTGGAATCAGGGCTGGAATTAGTGCTGGAAGCGGGACCGGGGCGGCCCCGAGCCCCGGCAGCGGAGGACTGAAGCACACAGAGAGCCCGCAGCTCGCTGTGGCCGTGGCGGAGGGGAAAGCCGGGTGCTCCCCCTGGCACCCCATGAGATGGCGTCAACACGCCCCCACCATGGCGTCCCTTCATGTTCTGTCACCCTTGACCCACAGGACACCTTCCGCTAGCCCAGGTTGCTTCAAGCCCCATCCATCCAGGGCTTGGACACTTCCGAGGCTGGGGCAGCCACAGCTTCGCTGGGTGATCTGTGCCACAGCCTCACCACCCTCACAGGGAGGAATTTCTTCCCAAAATCCCACCTAAACCCACTCTCCCAGGGAAGGAGGTTCCTGACTGGAAATGCCCCTGAGGCTGCTGCTGTCCATCTCCATCTTCTTGGGCTGTTCCTGCAACTGGAGCCATCCCAGACGCTTGCCCCTCTCCTGGGACACCCACCAGGCTGGACTGACCCTCTGCCACAGAAGGAGCATGGGAGTCTCCCTCCTCCTTCCTATCTCTCTCTGGGTTGGCTGGGTGTAGGATGCTTATGTTTTGGAGGTCCACCCAAACACCTCCATCCTGTGCACAGCAGACGAATTATGTCCTGTCTGTAGAAGATATCCAAGGGACTGCAGCTCCAACGGCAGGACCAGACCCAGCTGGATAATGCAATCCAGAGGGTTGGGAGCCTGCAGTGCAAGTGGGATGGGAGCTGTGGGTGGTCCCCACCCATCCCACCCCATTCCACCTCATGCCACCCCATCCCAACCCATCCCACCTTATCCCAGGTGATAGCTGGCTCCAATGCTGCACTAAAGCCAAAACTCTACCTCTATACTAATTCATAAATAGTAACCAGTACTCTGTGAGGATAGCTAGAAAAAAATTAAAAAGACTAATTAGCAGCATAAAAAAAAATTAGACTGCTAAAAATTAAAAAGACATCACTACCAAGATAAAAAGACTATCTATAAAAGTCCACCATATAAATACCCATATCCCCAAAATTAAAGTTAATAAAAAGCACCAAACCAATCAACAAAAAATAATTAAATATATTCTAGTGGGTGCACTAGCATTTAATGAATGCTAGACCCACGAGAGATAGAAACAATTTATTTTATTAATGAAACAACAGAAAGAGCTGGTGAATTAAGTCATCAATAACCTGAATAATTAACAGATACATCCTGTTATTTATCATTCTGCACACAGCAAAGCTGCTCATTCGGGCTAGTAAACATATGAATCCCACAGGACACTGTCACCCTTCCCACCCCGCTGCAGGGAATCCCCACCATCCACAGCCACCTGCCTCAGACCCCTGTGCTCACTTTCACCTGATTTTATACCTCGCTCTTCATTTTTTCACCCCATTCCTGGGGGAAGAAAATCCCACCTCCCTTTCTCTGCCCAAGAACACATTTTTCTCCCTGAGTCCCAGTTGGGTGGAATTAAACTGCGTGACTGGACACCCCACCCATCTTTTTTGGGGGGAGATGCAATTCCTGCCCTCCCCCTGCACCCCAAGGGTTTCACCCCACCCCGTGCCCCCCAGGCAGCACACGGCACCCTTTCCTTCGCTCACACCAACTTTAATCCAGCCGGTGTCCCTGGAATGGGGTCTGGGGGCGTCGGGAATGGGTCCCCCGCTCCCTCGGCGTGCTGGCTCAGAGCTCGTACTCGTGCCAGAGGCTGCGGGGACACAACGGGGTCAGCGGGAAGGGCGGGGGGCACCGGGAGGGGATGCCCCGTGCCCCCCAACCACCCTCCCATCCCACACCCACCTGTAGGTGACGTCGGGGTTGTCCCGGTGCTCCAGGAGGGCGTCACGGATGGGGCCGGGGGGGCTCAGCCCCAGCTCTTGTGCCCGTTCCCAGCGCTGCAGGCGGGTGATCCCTGCGGGATACCGGGGGCTCAGCCGGGCCGAGGGGAGCCCGGGGCCACCGGGACAACCGGGGGAACCGGGGGTGCTCACCGGTGCAGGGTCCGTATTCCCAGGAGAGGTCGAAGCGCCGCAACATCTCCATGAGCGCCGGGTCCGGAGGGGGCTGCGAGGGAGCGCGGGGACAGTCCCGCACCTTCAGCTGCGCCTTGTCCTTGTCCTTGTCCTCGTCCTTCTTGTTCTTGAGCCTGCCCGGGGGCCGCCGCGGGCCCCGCCGCCGCGGGAAGGAGTCGGTGATGCGCCGGGGCTGCTCCATGGCCCTGCGCGACATGGAGCTGGCACGGCCCCGCCAATACCGGGAACCGGGCGGGACCCGCCAATACCGGGAACCAGCGAGGGACCCGCCCCTGCCCATGGCCGGGCGGAAGCGGCGGGGCCGGGCCGGGGAGCCGGACGTGGGCGCCCTCGGACGCTGCCGCCTTGGCCGGTCCACCCTCGCGGTGGTCCCGGTCCCTCGCCCCCCTCGGCACCCGTCGGCTGTCCCCGGGTGCTGTCACCCCCCGTGTTGTCCCTGCCAGCAGCCGCACTGTCACCCCCGTGGCAGTTCCTGGCACCCCGAGGGTACTGTCGCCTCCATCCCAGTGTTCCCTTTTCCCCTGACACTGTCACCCGTGTGAGTGACTGTCACCCCAGGCACTGCCATCCCCCAGCTGTGCCCACTACACTCTGGTATTGTCACCCCTGTCACCCCCATCACTACAGCACTGTCACCTCTGTGGTTTCTCCCTGTCCCCCTGGACAATGTCACCCCCATCACAGCATTCCTCCATCACTGTCACCCCCTGTCTGTCCCCATCAGTCCCCCAAACCACGACTCACCCTGTGACACTGTCACCCTCTGCCCTGTCCCACTCTGCCCTGTGTGTCACTGCCTGTCCCTCCAGTGCCTGCCTGTCCCCAGCTGTGGTGACACCGCCCCGGTTGAGGGGGTGACACCGCAGGTGCAACCAGTGCAGATTTGCCTGCGGCTTTCAGCCCTCCCTTGGGAAACTGAGAATAACCGAGATGCGTGCCTTGGAAAGGGGTGGCTCCCAGGGGACCCAGCTGTGTGCCTCAGCGGTGACACGTGAGCCACCGAGCTGTGCCACCGCTGTAACGCTCAGCGCTGGGGGGACACAAAACCCCACAGCAGCCATCAGAGATGCCACACGGCTGTTTAATGTGAGGCTGGCACAGAGAGGGGACAGCAGGCCCTCCCTCAGGGCCCGTCCCTGTGCAGGCCAGGATTGTGCAGGATGTAGCAGCAGACCCCGGGCAGGCGCTGGTGGCCCAGCAGCTCCTGCAGCCGCTGCATGGGCCGGTTCCCCAGCGCCGTGTGCCCGAACGTGGGGAACCCGCGGGCCTGCGCCCGCTGCGCCGCCAGCGTCAGTGCCACCTGCATGTGGCCGCGCCGCCGGTGCTCGGGCAGGGTGTAGCTGTGGGTGCTCGTCCCGAAATGATCCGTCAGCACCCAGGCGATGGGCTGCCCGCCGCCGTCCTGCAGGCAGACTTGCGGGAAGCGCCCCAAAATCTCAGCCAGGAAGCGCCGGCTGCGGGCGTTCCCCCCGTAGGGCCACGTCTCGTTGAGCAGGTCCACGTGCGAGGGGCTCAGGGAGCCCACACGCACCCCGGGGGCTGGCCTGGGTGAGGCAGGGGTCAGTGGGGGGCTCAGGGGTGTTCCCGTGTGGGGTCGAGGGTGGGGGGCTCTCACCGGGGCTCAGGCACGGTGCTGGGGTCAGGGTGCCAGTAGGAGTAGTACTCGACAATGTCCAGCTCCACACCCTTCCTCCCCGCCAGGTCCTGGGACACCGTGGCCAGCCCATCCTGTATCCCTGGGGAAGGGGATGTCATGGGGTCCTGTTCCTCCTGTACCCCACCATCTCTGTCCCCAGCCCCTCTATGTGACCCCAGTGTCCTCCTAATTGTGCCCAGGGGCTGCCTGCAATCTCAGCCTCTATTCCCAGCACCCAAATCCTTCCTTCCACTTTGCCCAGTACCCCGGTCCTGCTCCTAGCATGCCCAAATCCAACCCCAGCGCTCCCCAGTGTCCCCAAGGACCCACAAATCCAGCTGCAGTACTTCCCAGTGCCCCCAGCATCCCCAAGTTCAACCCCAGTACCCCCTGAACCCTGCTTCCAGGATGCTCAGAGAATTGCACCAGTGCAATTCCCTGGTGCTCCCCAGCACCCCTAAATCCCACCCCAACACTTCCCACTGGTATCACCCATCAAACCCCACCCCAGCACACCAAATCAGGCCTCCAGTGCTCTCCAGCACCCAAACACCCATCTCCAGTGTCCCCCAGCACCCCCAATTCCCTTCACCAGTACCTCCCAGTTCCTCCCTGCCTCCAACAGCTCTCCCCAGTGTCCCACACTCCCAAGTGCAGCCCAGAGCATGCCCAGGAACCCCCAAGACCCCAGTGTCCCCAGGCCACCGATGAGGGTGAAGGCAGCGTCCCAGCGCAGGCAGCCGGGGGTCTCCAGCAGCTCCCGGTACGCCCCCAGGTCCCGGTAAAACGCCGCCTGTGTGTTCCAGTAGCCATCGTTCACCGGCACCTGGGGGCACCCAGGGGTGCTCTGAGCACACTTCGCACGTGCCAGGGCACCATGTCACCCCCCTCCTGCAGTGCCCCATGTCCCCACTGGCCACCTCTCCACTGGGCCGGGCCAGCATGGCACCGAATTCAGGCCACTTGTCCACCAGCACCTCAAAGTGGCCAGGGTTGCCCCGGTTGATGTTCAGCACTGCCCCGAAGACCTGGGGGAAAAGGGGAACAAGGAGGGGACAGATGGGGGTCAGGGATGGGGGCTTGATATGGGGGACACAGGGGCACATGTGGGACCAGAGCTAGGGGGTTTGTGGGAGCAGATAGGGGGTCAGAGCTGATGGGAGGGGGGCAGGTGTGGGGACAGGGTGGCAAAAGGGTTCCTAATGACACGGGAGTCTCTATCACCAGCAGGAGGGCAAAGGGCAGGGATGGTATTGGGGTCTCCCTCACAGCAAGGGGGATATTGGGGTCCCCATCACAGCAACAGATGAGTGTCGCTGGTGTCCCAGTCATGGCACAGTGCAGGGGTGACAGCAGGGTCCCTGTGACCGGCAGGATGGGGGTAGCATTGGGGTCCCTATCGTGGCACAGGGCAGGGGTGAGGACAGTGGGGTCCCCATCACCGGCAGGGCGAGGGGCAGGCTCTTCCTCAGGATCCCCTCCAGGTGCTGCAGCTGGGCTGAGCATGTCAAGATCTTCATTGTCCTGCTGAGAGACCCTCAGTAACAGGGGGACAGGGCCACCAGGCATGGCCCCTGACCCTGTCCCCGTCCCTTTCCTCACGGTCCCCATCTCCTCCAGCACTCACCCTGCAACAGTCCTGAGTCTGTGGGTTCCAGGGGGCTGTGGAGTCAGAGTCTGGAGACTGTGTGGCACTCCGTGACAATGGTTACCACCAGCTGTCACGGGCCAGCGAGTGCCCCCTGCCTTGGGGGGCAGCGTCCATCCCGCTGAACACTGGGCACCAGGCCAGCTTTATGGCTGCCTGGGGACAGGTGCTCAGCTGGGACACTCTGGGACATTGTCTCAGTGCCACCAGTTCCCCACGGATCCTCAGTGTCACCACTTGCCCCACAGTCACGAAGCCATGCTGATCCTGAGGTGCCCAGCCCAGCTGCAGCTCCTGGAGGAGACCCTGCGGAAGAGCCTGCCCACCACCCTGCCGGTGACAGCCACCCCGAGGATCCCTCTGTCCCCCCTGCCCTGTCCTGCTGGTGACAGAGTCCTTGGGGACCCCTCTGTCCCTCCCTCCCTCCCTCTCTGCCGGTGGTGAGGACCCTGGGGACTCCTTTGTCCCCTCACCCTTGTCCTGTCAGTGTTGCTGATTCCCGGGACCCCTCTGTCCCTGTCCCCTGTCCCCTCTCCTCTGCCTTACCATTGATGAGGACCCTGGGACCCCTCTGCCTCCCCACCTGCCCTGGTGGTGACAAGGACCCCTCTGTCCCCTCTCCCCTGCCCTGCTGCAGACCCCGGGGATGCTATTGCTCCCTCTCCCCTGCTGGTGAGGGGACCAGAGGGACTCTGGGCACCCCTTTGTCCCCTCTCCCCTGTCCTACAGGTGACAATGACCTTATTGTGCAGGTCTTGGGGACTGTGATGACGGTGGCCAGGGGGAACCCGGCCTCCCACGAGGTGCTGGTGGACTCCTGGCCCCATTTCAGCATTGTCCTGACCCGCCTGCGCCCAGAGGTGCTGACCCCTGCCCTGACAGCAGCACCCCACACCCCAGGGGCCTGGCAAGTGGGGTGCCACCCTCAGCTCCATGTCCCTCCCAGGACCATAGGGACCCCAGGGACTACTACTCCAACCAGCTGTCTGTGTTCTACCGGGACAAGGGAGCCCTGCAGGCTCTGCTGGAGGGCACTGAGGCGGTGACCCAGGAAAGAGCCTTCCAGATTCTGGGTAAGGATGGCACTGAGGGGACACAGGGCTCCTCTACCCTCCATCTGGGTCCCCTGTCTGGCTGACAGACAGGGTGTCTCAGGGATGCAGGATGGGCTGGACGAGGCCGTGCAGGAGGTGGCCAGTGCCAGGGGGCTGAAGGTGGAGATGATCCGGTACCGGGCACTGATGAGCCCTGAGCCCCCCCAGCCCCGCAGGCAGTGAGTGAGGGGAACTGGGGGGACATGGGACACTGGGGGCACATGGGCACTGACGGACAAGTCACATCCCTGGGTGGTATATGGAGAATTGCCACATTTCTTTGTAGCACAGGGGCATCATATTCGCCTCTCTTGGTGGCACAGGAGTCCCCGAGCACATCCCTGAGAGGCACAGAGTGACACGAGTGGGATCATTGAGCACATCCCTGAGTGGCACAGGGATCACTGGGTGACATGAGTGGATTCACTGGGTGGCACAGGAGTCCCCAGTCCCACTCCTGGGTGGCAAAAGGGTCCCAGATTCCATCTCTGGGTGGCACAGGGGTTCCAAATCCCATCCCATCTGCTATCCCAGCTGGGACCAGGGTTCGGCATTCCCCACTCTGCCATGCCCTGTTGCAGGATGCCCCCGGGCCTGCGCCTGGCGCCCGTGTCCCCGTCCCACGTCCCGCTGCTCAACGCCACGTGGGCCCAGGGGGGCAATGCCCGCAGCCGGGCGTTCCTGCTGGGGCTGGTGAGGACGCTGCCCTCCGCCTGCCTGCTGGGCCCGCGCGGCCGCCCGGTGTCCTGGAGCCTGCTGGACGGGCAGGGCTGCCTGCGCCACGGCTACACGGTGCCCACCTGGCGCGGGCGCGGCCTCAGCGGGCTCCCGCTGGCCCTGCTGGGCCGGGAGCTGCACGCCCGCGGCTTCCCCATCTACTGCTCCGTGCTGCCCCAAAACACGGCCTCGCTGCACGCCCTGCAAGCCGTCGGCTTCGTGCCCCAGCCCGGAACCTTCTACATGATCCTGGGCACCCCAAAGTAGTGCCCAGGGAGAGGTGCCAAGGCGGGGGGTGCCTGTCCTCGGGGTGGGGTTACCTGGGCCCAGGGCGGCCTGGATCCCCACCCTGTGAGCTCAGCTCGGAGCCATTCCCTCTGATCCCCACTGATGGCACTGATGGGAACATCCCAAATTCCACACGGAGCCGTCCTCCCCGGTCCCCACCCGGGTGCGGCACGGGCGGGGCGGGGGGCTGGAGAAAGGCTTTTATTCGTTCATACAAGAATAGATCTTCTGCAATAAATACCCCAATAAATAAACATCTCCAATAAATAAACACTCACAGACGCACCGGGACAGCGCCGCGCCCCACGGCCTCGCCCCACCATCGATGGGCACCCGTGGGGGAGGCGGGGCTTGGGCAAAGGGGGCGGAGCCTGTTGCGGGGAGGAGGCGGGGCTTGCTACACAGGGCGGGGCTTATTGCCATGGGGCGGAGCCTATTGCTCCGGGGCGGGGCTTGCTGCTGGCTGGGGCGGGGCTTATTCCTATGCTCGGAGGGCGTTGGTCCTTTTTGGGATGGGCGGGGTTGGCACCCATTCTGGAGACTTTAGGGATGGGGACAGGCACCCTGGGGGTTGGGGACCCCATGGAGGGGCACATGGGAGTCAGGACACCTGTCCCTTAAGACACAACATAGCGACAGAGGGGCTGCGGGGTGACTGTGGCGGCACTTTGGGGTGAGGAACTCCACCCCTTAAGGCACAGCTGGGTGATGGTAAGGATGTGGGGTGGCTTTGGCAGCACTCCGGGGTCAGGAGACACAGTTTTGAAGGGACGCTGCGGGCAAAGAGGGGACATGGAGTGGCTTTGGTGGCACTTGGGGTCAGGAGATGCATCCCTTACAGCAGAGTGTAGTGACAGAGGGGACGTGAGGTGGCTGTGGTGGGTGACACTTGGGGTTTGGAACCCCTCACTTAAGGCACGGTGATGAAAGTGGGATTGTGAGATGGCTGTGGTGGCACCTGGGAGTCAGGAACCCTATTTCTTGAAGCACACTGGTGGTGGACAGGGAACATGGGGTGGCCGTGGTGGCACTTGGGGTCAGAAGCCCTGTTCCTTAAGGCACAGTATGATGATGATGATGATGATGCTGGAGGGGCTGCAAGGTGGCTGTGGTGACACGTAATGTCAGGAGCCCCATCTTTCAAGGCACTGCCAGGTGATGATGAGGTTGTGGGGTGGTTTGGGGGTCAGGAGCCCCATTTCTCAAGGCACGCTGGTGGTGGAAGAGGGGACCTGCGTGGCCATGGTGGCACTGTGGACTCAGGAGCCCCGCAGGTGCTCAGAACCCCCTCGCCTCCAGCCGCAGGGTGACCACAGCGGGCGGCACCTTCTTCTTGAGGCGGTTGAAGTCCTTGGCCGAGCGCCAGAGCCAGGTCTGCAGCTCCTTCAGCAGCCAGAAATCATCCATCTTCTTCAGGAAGTCATTGGGGGCCGCGGGCGCGCCGGGGGGCGCGGGGGGCCCGGCGGGGCCAGCGGGCAGCGGGTAGCCCAGCGAGGACATGACGCCGCCGATGCTGAGCACCAGCCCCTGGAGGCTGGCGCAGAAGTGGGCGAGGCGGTGGCGCAGCTCGGCCGTGCCCACCTGCCCGTCCAGCACGCGCAGGTAGCAGAGCAGGCGGCTGTAGGCCCGGTAGTTGGCGGCCAGGCGGGCGTTGTCCGTCAGGCCCCGCCACAGGTCCAGGTCCACGGTGGCGCTGGGCACCCGCTCGGCCCGTGCCAGGCGCGGGGGGTTGAAGTCGGGCTCATTGAAGGGGGGCCCCAGGTAGTTCAGCTGGAAGGGAAAGGGGGTGCCAGGGGTCATGTCTCCGTGTCCACCCAGCCTGCGCGTCCCCCCCGTGCCCCCAGTTCGAGCACATCCCACTCGTCCCAGCTCTCCCTTCTCTTGGCCCGTCTCCCCGCGCTCTGCCCGAGCCGGACATCGCCGGCACGGCCCGGGCAGCGCCGCCGTCACCGCCTGGCACCGGACGTGCCAGCACCGCCGAGGGCACGTCAGGGCAGGGACGGGGAACCTCCGCCTGAGTCGGCGACGCCGGCGGGGAGGGAGAGGCGGATGGCCGCGCCCATGACGGGATCACGGGCTGAGGGGAGGGTGTCGGCAGCCGCCCTGCGCCCGGCGGGCGATGAGGCATTTCCGTGCCCGGCGGCGTGGGAGCAGCTGGGCACGGGGTGGATATCCCGGGAGGGGGGCGCGTCGGGGACTCACGTAGGTGCCGGCGAGGGTGCGGAGCTGGTGCTCCAGGTAGCGGGTCAGGTCGTACGTCTGCTGGATGGACTGGCCGGCGCCCAGCTCCTCGGAGCAGTTCAGCGCCGGCAGCGCCGGCAGGTTGCAAAGCGCGGCGCACAGGAAGGTGAAGATCCCCCAAGAGTCACCTGTGGAGGGACACACAGCACCTCAGGGGGGGTGACAGGGACACTCCGTCTCCGTGCGTGCGGCGCTGAGCCTGCAGAGTACCCCTGAGTCACCCGTCTGAGCGCGGGGAAACTGAGGCACGGGGGCGGGGAGGGTGGGGTTCCCCTCACCTCAGCACCCCCCTGGAACAGCAGGAACCCCCCACCTCAGCACGGCGACCTCCCGGCTCCCCTCGGAGCGCTCCCGCCCGCGGCTGCACCAACAATCCTTTATATGGTCTGGAGCAGCGCGGCCGCGGCATTCCCGCCGGGACACACGCCTGGGATATATTTGGGCACCGCCAACGCCGGAGCGGCCCGGGCACCCAGCGGGGACCTCCGCCGCGGGGCCACCGGGAAAGTGGAGCGGGGGGTGGGACGCGGCTCCGGGGAGCGGCCGGGGCGCGGGGTGACCTTTCCGGAGCCACCGGAAAGCGCCGGCGGGGTCCCCGTCATCGGCCTGACGTCAGGGCGGCCCGGAGCGCGGCCCCGCTCCCGGCGGCCGTGCAAAGGTCACGGCCCGCGGCCAGGACGCTCCGGCCAGCTGGCACCCCCGGCTCGCCACAGCCGGCCTTCCCGGCAGCGCCTCCCGGGAAAGACCGGCCGCTGGCACGGCTCGGCAGCGCGGGGCTCCTGCTGCGGGCAGCCCCCCGCGCCCCCGCGCGTCACCGCTCCCCGTCACCGGCCGCCCGTGACGCACGGCGGCCCTCGGGGACACCCCGGCTCCGGCCACAAGAGCCTCAGCGCCGTGGGTGTCCTGCAAACTGCACGCCTCGCTGTGCGGGATGCGAGTGCCCTGAGGGTGTGCAGGACGCTGTCACACCTGGGATACACCCCGGAGGTGTGCGGGACACTTGTGACCCCTCTGGGATACGTCCAGGGCACACCTGGGATACGCCTTGTGTGTGTGTGTGCATCACACAGGTGTGGGGAACATGCCGCTTTCCAGCCGTGTGACACCATGCAGGTGTCACACCGTGCACACGTGGGATGCGCCACAAGCATGAGACACCACCCAGGTTTGTCACCTCCCACACGGGCGTGACACATGTGGCAGTCACAGGGCATGTCAGGCAAATGTGCAATGTGCTGTGTGCATACCCCATGGGGGGGACACTCCGTTACATGCCATCCACGTGTGACACACCGTGCACACCCAACGCCACTCCGTGACACCCCATGTAGGGCCACGTGCCCCCATGTCACCCGTGCCCATGCGTGGCAGCCCCGGTCGGCGCCGGCTCGCCCGGTGCCCTGCGGTGGACACGTGCCGCCGTTTGCCAGCGTTCCAGTGCGTTCCGGTACACGGAGCGTGCGGCCGCCCCCCCGGCCGGCCAACCGGGGCCCGGGGGGGCCGGCGGGGGGCCCGCGGTGACTCACAGCACACACACCCCCCCCTTCCCGGTGTTTGCTTTGGCCGGACCCTCGCCCGCCGCCGGCTCCGGTTTCCAGGCGGGATTTACACCCGCCCCGGCCTGGCCGGTGCCAAACCAAACACAGCCGGGGAGCGGGATGAGGGGGAGATGGCAGGGATGGGAGATTGGGATGGAGCCACGGTGGATCCTGGGCAGGTGGCCCAGACATAAGGATGAGGATGAGGATGATGGAGGAAGGGGATAGAGGTGGGTGTCTGAGGGATGGGAATGGTGGGATGCACAGAATGGATGGCACTGAGCAGTAGTGACCATGCAACAGTGACAATGGTGACCCTGGCACAGCAGTGACAGTGACTGGGGCACAGCAGAGACAGTTGCCATGACACAGCAGTGACGATGACCATGGCACAGCAGTGATGATGACAGTGGCACAGCAGTGACAGTGACCATGGCACAGGAGTGACAGTGACCGTGGCACAGCAGTGACACACAGTGAGTGCCCCGCTGTCCCTTGCCCACCTCTGTCCCAGCGGCTGGCGCCGGGCACCCACCGGCACAGACAGTGGAGGAGGGAGGCTCCAGCCGGCACAGCTGGATCCCAGTGACGTCGGAGAGGAAGAGCCCGAGGGTTTCAAAACCGGCCCTGGAGCGCGGCCAGGATGCTCCCAGCCCACGTAAGCAGCTCATGGCGTGCCTGCCCGGGGTCACCCGTTGGGCCCCGGGGACACCCGAGGAGGAACCAGGGTGACGGGGGGCCACGGGAACGGGCACCCCTGCTCTGCCAGCACACCCACGCCAGACACACCAGTGGTGCCATGGACACCCATCGCACACATGGCAGCGGGGATGTGGCTCACCCGCCTTTGGGGTGACACCCGGGACCCCTGACTGCCACCCGCCCAGCGGCGCAGGCGGCAGTGCTGGCCAGACCTCCCGGCCAGCGGCCAAGGCAGGAATTCGGCCACGGAGACGGTGAGCTGTTCCCTGGGCATGCTGTGGGCAGAGCCGCCGAGGGCTGAGCGACCACAGCCCCCCCAGAGCCGCTTTCCCGAAACCCTGGTGGCGGGGGCGGCAGTCGGGAAGGGGAGACCCCCTGGCCCCGGAGCCCCCGGCAGAGGACGGAGCCGAGCCGGCCCCCGACGCCGCGGCGGGAGCTGCCGTATCTGATGGGCCGGCGTCCAGCGGCGAACAGAGCCCCATCCCACCCCACAGCCCCATTCCTGGGGCCAGCATGGGAGGTCTCGCGGTGGCCAGGCATGACTGTGGCACAGAGGACAAAGCAGCCCTGTTCCCATTACTCCAGCCACTGTCCTGGCCACCAACTGGCACCACTTAACCCTGCACGGGGCGTTTCCCAGTCTAATGTGGCCACCAGCTCCGAGGGGCTTGGAGTGGATGACACTCAAGGGCTCATGGACAGATGCCTCTGTGTCCCTGCACTACTGGCATTTAACCCTGCTGTATCTGGGGAGGTGACACCACAGCACAGCAGCGTCCTTGTGGAGCCAGCACGATGGGGACACAAGGATGCTCATGTTCCACACCCAGCTATCAGAGACGCAGCATTCCCTGAGTTCCAACAGGAAGAACACGCATGCCCTTGTTCTCCAAGAGCACCCACGGCCACCAGAGTGGGGTCCCCATCCCATCCATCCCATTCTACTGCACTCCATCCCATGCATCCCATCCCTTCTCACCCCATCCATCCCATGGCAAAGCCGCTGTGCCAGGAGTGGGTGGTGGCGCGGGGGGCGCGTGGCCCCGCATCCCCCACGGTCCGGGCCGTGCCTGCGCTTGCGGCGCTGAGTGTTTACATCCTGTCTCCTCCGTGTGTTTATAAATGCGGCCGCGCACGGGAGACTCCAGCGAGGCCGTAATTAGCTGGGCCTGGATTTCCCATCCAGCTCCGGCTCCAGCCAGCGGTGAGATGGAAACACCCCCGCCGGCAAGGGGGGCGCAGGCCCCTAATCCCAACCAGACCCCGCTGCCCCACACGCACGCCCAGCGCCCGGGAGCCTCGCGAGGCACCTCGATCCCTTCTTGCCGCTCCCTCCCGGCACAGGTCATGGAGCCCCACAGCCCAACAGCCCCCTCAGCACCCTGCTGGGGGTTCACCGGCACAGAGCCAGGCTGGCCACTCTCCAGTGGGGCAGGGGGACCCCCGGTGCCAGCCCATGTGGCACCACAAAGCCGTGGCTGACACGCCCTGGCACCTCCAGACCCACTGCCACCTCTGATATCGCCTGCCATGGGGACACTGCCTGGCTGGGTCAGCGTGGGACCAGCAGTTCTGGCAGGCAAAACCACGCTCTGATGTCCCCACAGCACTCTGGTGAAGCCTGGGACACCTCTGTCACCCACAGGCCACGTGCCACACGCAGCCACAACACTGCCGGGCCAGCTGCTTCCCAGATATCCCAGATACCCCATCCAGGAGTGCATCCCCACGAGCCTGCCGAGCCTGCCGGGACGGTGGCAACTGGGACGGTGGCACAGGGATGCTGGCGCTGCAGCCCCGGGGGGTGCGGGGGGATGATTTATGGGGCTCGGTGCCACTTAGCAGGGCATAAATCTCCCCCCAGCGCGGCCCTGTAAGCAGAGCCCTCCGCATTTCCCTGCGGAGCCTGCGCCTAATGCAGCCCAGATGTGCGGCCGCCACCGTGCCCTCGCACCGCCTGCTAAATAGGCACGGGGACACCGGGGATGCCGAGAGTCCCGGAGCCCAGCCAGAGACACCACCCCGGCAGCCAAGGGGGTAGGGATGTCCCAAAACGGGAACGGGGTCCTGGCGGCCGAGCTCCAGCCCCGCAGCTCCTCCGCGGCGTCCCCTTCCCCGCCCGTCCCGCAGGCCTCGCACCGGCCGTGCCACCGGCTCCGGCCACGTCCGCCGGGCCCGGCGGCAGCGGGAAGGGGGAGAGGAAGGGGCGAGGGAGGGCGATGGAGCCGCCGGGGATCCCGGCCTCGCTTTTCCGGTTCCCCGGCGCTCGCCCCGCTGTGCCCGTCCTGCGTCACGCCGGCACCGCGGGAGCTGGAGCCGAACCCGGCGCCGGCCTCGTGCTGCCCCGGCCCCGGTCCCGCCGCCCGGGACCCCGGAAAGCTTGGCGGCGCCCACACTTTGCCCTTTTAAGGGTGTTTTCCAGCATTTTCCGGGCGAGGAACCCCCGGTGCCGGTGTGCCGCCAAGGCCGGCTGGCCCCACAGCAGCCCCGGGGGTGCCGGTGGCCGCTGGGGCCGAGGGAACAAAGCCGTCCCCTCCCCAGCACCCCAAAACCCGCTGCTGTGTCCCGCAGGAACGTCGCCGGCTCCAGCGGCGGCGTTCTGTGTCAAGCCCCGAAATCCAGCCCCGGGCAGGAAAGCTAACTCTTCCTGCCCCCCATAAATCCCACCGACTTTCCTTTTCCTCCCCTCTGTCGGTCCCGGGGTTTAATTCTCCGTGCTCAGCGGCGGTTCCCTCCCTGGTAATCACAAACATGCATGGAAAAGAGGGAACGAGAGAAAGGGGGGGAAAAAAAAAGAACAACAACCCAACCTAGAGAGGGGAAAGTCTTAAATCAATCCCAAAGCCAGACAGACGTTTTAATCACATCAAATTAAAATCAGCAGTCGGTTTGGAAAGGGGAAAAAACTCCCGGCAGATGCAGGCAGGGGAGTTGGGGCAGCCCCCCGCCCCGCACCCAGCGCCGCGGGCTTACCTGAGAGCTCCCCGGTTACATTTAGCATAGTCGGGGTGCAGGGGGATTTTGGGGGGCTCGGCTCTTGCTCGGCTCCCCGAGCCCGCCCGCTCGCCTCAGCCCTGGCTCGTTGCTTCGCTCGCGCTCAGGGTTGGGTGGTGGTTTTTTTTTTTTTTTTTT